ACTACAAAATGGGAGTTTTACCCCTCTTTACAGGCCTACTATGAGATTGTAGGTAACAAATATGAAATTCATAACAAATTGCTTAGTATAGAGAAAGGCCCTATATGTGGAAATTATTCTTATTAACACTTTTACTGATAAATTACATCCACTGTTAGTCAGGAATTTCTAGATACCCTAAGACCTCAAGCAAAAATGATAGGAAAAGTTATTTTTACATTTGTAATAGATAAACACTATACTTTTTGGGCTCTTCTTCTGCTTGTCCTCTAAATATGAGTCTTTCTCAGAATTCTCTTCTAGTTCATCTTCTCACTCTATAACTGCTCTTCTCTAGTGTGAAATTCATGCTTGCCTTGCTTCTGTTATGGTTTGACCAAATGTAGTAAAGGGTGTAACTGTCAGTGAGTTATGTACGTATTCCTCCTAATTCCCCTGACTATGGGGCTCTTCTTTCTATCATTAGTGGCACTAGAAGGAGAAAAACACAAGTAGATGAAGAGGAGTGAAGCAATAGTTACTTTAGCTAGTTTGTTCTGAGAAAGAGAAAGAGCAGGGAGATATTTGGAAGGGATTCATATAACGGACAAAAGATACACTCATGAGAAGATGGTCTTGGATTACAAATAATGACTGGTAATGACTCTGCATGTTTTCTCTGGTAGTACATACTCTAGCACCTCCAGTTAATCTGGTCATGGTCATTGTAAAAAATAGAGTGTTAGTAGATCTGTGTTGCCTCACCTGTCTTGCTGGATGTAATTTCTATGTAGAAGGAAACACAGGGAAGAGAAGCAGAGAGACAACACAGCAAATACACTATTTTTATCACATCTACAACATCAGTTCTTAGGAACAGTAAAAATATTAGTGGCTGCCAGGGGTTAGAGAGAAGAAAGGAATGAGTAGGTGAAATACAGAGGATTTTTAGGGCAGTGAAATTATTCTGTATGATACTATGATGGTGGATACATGTCATCATGCCTTTGTCCAAACCCATAGAATGTGCAAGACCAAAAGTGAGCCCTAATGCGAACTATGGGCTTCGGGTGATAATGATGTATCAGTGTAAGTTCATTGATTATAACAAATGTACCACTGGATGTTGAAAGGGGAGACTGTGTGTCAGTGGAGGCAAGGGATATACAGGAACTCTCTGTGTACTTCCTGCTCAATTTTGCTGTGAACTTGAAACTGCTATTAAGAAGTATATTTAAAAAAATCAGTTCTTCCTTACAAACTTTGGAAAAAAAGCAATGAAAATGGAACTTACCTTCTTTTGAAAGCAGGAGATTAGGTTTGTTAACTGTGATATTTGGAGGTAAAGCTGGATTCCCACTCATCTTGTGAGTAAGTTCTTCAATTCTTTCCTCACTAATCTCTTGTGCTAGAGGATTTGAAAACATTTCATCTTCTGGTCTGTTAAAAAAATAGTATGTGAAGTTTTTCATTATATATGGGACTAACATTTCAAATATACACTTTAATTTATTAAAATTTATTCATATATTCTCTTTCCAAAAAGGATTTCAGGCAGCTTACAGTAAAAAATACAAGTAATAAATTTAATAAAATATCACCAAAAGAGGACAAACTACAATTCCAAATAAAGAGAAAGCATATATGCTATTATATTTCTAAGGTTAATAATATCATTGCTATGATGGTGTAGAAAATTTTTGCTCTGAGTTTCCAGAGAATTCTGGTTTTTATTACATTGGCTAAGTCATTTTTCAAAATTTTAAAGTATATCAAATTCTCAGAGGACATAAAGTTTTTCCTGGTATAAATTCTGAAAAATTTGTGTGATAATGTTTTCCACAACAGTTTTAGAGCAAATGAAGAAGTGGATTAATTTTTACACAGCTATTTCTTTTATTGACTTCTGAAAAAAATGGAAAGTATAACATTCAAATTTAGTTCAATGAAGATAGTTATTCCAGGGACTAAACACAATATAACACAGTGTCCCGGTTAACACTAACCTTAAAGATTCTTTTGCTTTTATTTCATCCATGAATCCATTCTCAGTATCCTTTTTTCTTTTGCAAAAAACATAAGATGATTCATTGCCTAGAAACCTGTAGAGACTATTGCTGGAATCTTCAAACTCTAATTCCTTTTCATTTTTGAATAGTTTCATTCCTACTGGTTCAAATACTTTATGATTCATTAGAACTTGGCAAAGACGAACCCCTTTAAGACGAGAGATATCACTGCTACTTAGGCACATGTTTTGCATAAGATGACTTAATACCACATCGACAGCATCAGAACCAGTAAAACAGTCTTTGTACGTTCGTAAATGATGCCTCCTTCTTTTTATTTCCACTTGGGTCTGAAGGGAGTGAATAATACCATCCCATAGCTGAGTAGCTTGAAAAGGAACACAGCATCCTGAAAAAAAAAAGTTTCTAACAAATTCAGATTACACAAAAATATGTAAGTTTTTCAGTTTTGATGGTATATCTGCTAATGTCTTTCCTAAATTTCATCTCTCATCTTCTGCAAACTATATTTGCTAAAGTTGCACAATACTGGTCTGCCAATAAAAATAGAGTAAACCTAGGAACTTGCTTTACTGATGTGAAATATATTATTATGTGAACCTATATACCTTATTACATGATTAACTACTAGCTATACTTAATCATCAAGAATATTATTTCAGGACACCTTGAAAAGGAATGCAAATACATTTGAATCTTGATTATTACCAAGCTTCACCCAGCTCTTTGCTTTTTCTTTGTTCTTTTTGCCCTTTTGACCAGTGGCAAGCTCTTCATCAAAGAGATCTAGGCAAAGAACTGAATAAACTAATTTGTCCATCAGCTTTTCTTGTTGAAAAAAAAAGAGTTTGCTGATAAACAATGAAAACTTGGAAACAATCAAAATGCCCATTACCTGGGGAATAGTTAAATAAATTATGGTATAGCCTTACTATAGGAGAGTGGCAGCCATTAGAAAGAGTGAAGTAGAGCTATGTTTATAGCATGGAAGGATCTCATTAAGTAGGAAAAAAACCCAAAAACAAAAATAAAAAAATCCAGCTGAGCAGAACAATTTGTATATTATGATCCTACTTAGGTAAAAATGAATTCCCAATCTACACACAAATGTATGTAAATAAATAGAAAGATCTGGAAGGATAAACTTCAAACTATTAATCTTTGGGAAGTAGGATTGTAAAGGTGGTTGATGAAAGAGGATGTTCATTTTTTATTCTATCTGTTTCTGAATTTTTATAATATGTATATATAAATTTCTTTTTTAAATTAATTGGAGACAGCAAAAACTACTGAGATATAATTCACATACCATAAAATTCACTGTTTTAAAGCGCACAATTCAGTGTTTTTAGTATATTCACAAAGTTGTGCACCCATTACTATAATCATTTCATCACCCCAAAAAGGAACCCATAATTAGTAGTCCATTTCCCCCATCCTAGTAAAATTTTAATTAAAAATTTTTAAGTACAATAAAGGAATAAGTTGAAACATCAAGAATGTTGCCCTAGATATTTTGGGGGACAGAATCCAAGAATTTAAGCTCTCTTCTCCCTCGACTATGGATAACTGGAACTAATATGTTCAATTTTACATAATAGTTTGATGTTTATGACAAAAGACAGAAATAAAAATACACCCCCAAATTCTTTTTGTAACATAAGTTGTCTGTCTGTCCACCCTAGAAATCTTAGCCATACACACTGTGGATAGAAGAGGGGGAGGTGTGTGGTACTAGAGGTTTTGGGGGAGGCTGAGAGGCTATGAGCGTTGGAGACTAGCTATTAATATTTTCCGTGGACAATCTGCCTCTCTAGCCTTCATTAAGCAAGTGGCTAGGTTAAAGAAACAATCTTCCAGCTCAAGGAACTTGCCTTCTAGTACTTTTTTTGAGACAGGGTTTCGCTCTGTCGCCTGGCTAGAGTGCAGTAGGCATCATCATAGCTCACTGCAACCTCAAACTCCTGGGCTCAAGCAATCCTCCTTGCCTCAGCCTCCCGAGCAGCTGGGACTACAGGTGGGCGCCACCACGCTCAGCTGGTTTTTCTATTTTTTGTAGAGATGGGGATTTCGCTCTTGCTCAGGCTGGTCTCGCCTCGGCCTGCCAGAGTGCTAGGATTACAGGCTTGAGCCACCGCGCCTGGCCTGTCTTCTAGCACTTTAACCCCTTGTTGCTCTAAGAATTGCCAATGCCTGGGGACCAGCGGCATTGGCATCATCTGGGAATTTATTAGAAAACCAGATTATCAGCCCCTACTCCTGAATCAGAATTTACATTTTAACAAGATTCCCAGGTGATTCGTACGCATATTAAAGTTTGAGAAGCACGGCTTTCCTGGACTTTCTCCAAGGTCACTTCACCAGAGTAACCCCTGAAAAGGCTGAGTCCGGGGTCCCGAGTCCAGGACCTGGAAAAGCAGGTGGCCCCGGAAGGGGACGGGGTTAGGAAAGGGGCGGGGCCCCGGAACCCGGAGGAGCAGAGTTCGAACCACCTGCTCCCCTCGGCTGCGCACCCTACTGAGACTTCGCCACACATTTTGCTAGCATCTACAGGGCTACCTGTCCTCCTTTTCCGGCAGAAGCCACCTCTAGGGTTCTTGGAACCTGGCCCGTTCCGCCCTGGGCTCGGAAGCTCGTTCTGGCTGTCAAGCCTACGGAACCGCGGAGTCAAAAGAACCGCCATAAGGTCTCGCGCCGGCTCCTCCCCAAGCCCTGTAACCCCGCCCCCACCTGACACTCGGGGGCGGAGGGAAGTCTGGGCCCCGCCTCTTCCGAACGAGCAGGAAGTGACGTCATGTCCTAGCCGGCAGGTCTTTCAGTCTTCTTCCCCCTCCCTTACTCTTCGCCCCCGGTCCCTCCCCTCCCCACCCCTCCCCTTCTCCAGCTCCAGCCTTTTCGGCCGCTCGGGTGGCGGAGGCTATGGAGTAAGCCAGCTGCAGCGGCCAGGCGCGAAGGCTGAGCTGGAACAGCCAGGCGGTGTTTAGGGGGCGGGGGGAGCGAGCCCCAGCACCGCCCCTCCCTGGAAGAGAGGGAAGAGGTGAGTGACCGGCCGCCAGCACCGACCGCCCTCCCTTACCGGCCGCGCTCTCGCCCGGGCTCCCAAGGCCGGCTAGGAGGGGATGGGGAAGGACCCGCTCCGGGGCTAGGCCTCCCCAGGCGGTCCGGGCTGGCGACTGTTGCCTGGTGACGGGCCTGCCGGCTGCGGGCCGGGCGGGGCGGGCGGTAGGCGTCCGCATGAAGCGGGGCCGGGCGAGCGGCGAGCTCCGGGGAGCGGATCCCAGAGGCCCGAGTGCCCCGAAGAGGCCTTGAGGCGACTGGAGCCCGTGATCGGAGTCAGCTGGAGAGAGAGCCCCCCGCGCCGGCTTGGGAGCTCGGGTTTCCGCGGTGGAGATCTTGGTTCCTTTTGGGAAATTGGACACTACCCCAGGACTGGGCGAGACAGCTCCCCTCAGTTCTGAGCTCTGGCTCCGGTAACCTTGGTCACTAGTCAGGGCCCTACCGCCCGGCGTCCTTCTCTGACAGTAGCTATAGCTCTGGAAGGGAAGGTTATTGTGTGTGAGGTGGGTGGGGCAGATGTTTGATAAAACTAAAATCCCCGTCGGTGGTTCCTGCAGTCTTGCTTTTCTAAGCAGGGAGAGAGAGAATAGAGGAAGGTTTCCGATAAAGCTTGCGAAAACTTCTTGGGATCCGATCGAGCACATACCTATGATCCGTAATTAAAGAGACCAGTATTACCAAATCTGCCGCTCTAACAGGCTTGGTGAGACTCAAGCGACTTAAAAGCGCTATGCCAGTAGTGACTTAATTGTAAATTGCCAACTAGTTTTTTGTACATCAAACTTGAGAATTATTTGTACGATGACAATTTTAAAAGAATAGGATACTGTGAGTGATTTTTCTAAGTAGCATGTCTCCGTTCTGGAAAATAAATACTTTTAATGAAAATGCTCCAAACCAGCCTGTCACTGTAAAACCCAATCATGTTCTGGTGATGGCTTGAAAGTCAGATGCTTGAAGATTCCTTTTGGACTTTGCAGATTTTTTGTTGTTTGGCTCCCTGTCTTATTCCTTATCGCAAATATTAATATTTTAAAGTTTAAAAATGACTTATCAGCTAAGTGTATAAATTCTTGAGGCAACATTAAACTGTAATCATAAAGGATGCTTTTGGGGGATTGTGTAAAGGAAAGGAACCTAATGGAAGATAAGGGCCTTCATTCTGTTCAGATCTACAGGGTGTCCCAAAAGTTGCCATACATAGGGAAAATGGGAAATTGTAGCTAAATGTACCTTCATGTACAAAATATTCATTACAAAATTTTACAAAATTTTTCCTCTGTATGGAGACTTTTGGGACACCCTGTACTTTACCCACATGTAGAAACCTATTCTTTAGTCTCTAAGATCCGTAAACACCTAATAAGATAAATACAGGCACACTTAACTTCCATTCAGGGGAATACTTTTTGTACAAATCAACCCTATAATTGGTCATAAGTACTCATACTCACATATTTGAAATGCATGATCTACCCCCCACCCCCAAGAAGAAAAATAGCTCCCCTTATTGCATTTAACTCCACCGGTAGTATCACCATCCATCCCTTTCTGTAAGAGTTGAAGTTTGACAATTCCTCTCTTGTGCCTCATACTCAGTCTCTCATGAAGTCGTATTGAGTATCTCTTGAATCTGTCTACTCTTCATCTTCATCAGTAGTCCTCTTGTTGCAGCCACCATCGTCTCTCATCTGGACTACTTTAGCAGCCTCTTGATTACAGTCTTTCTGCTCCTACTGTGGCCTCCTCTGTAGTTTTCCACACCAGACTGGGTAACTTTTGAAAATGCAGATCTAATAACATTGTCTTTGTGTTTAAAATCTTTCAGTGGCTTCTCATTGTTTTTAAGATAAACTGAAATCATTAACATGCCCTACAGGTCCTGCATGATTGGGCCCAGTTGCCTTTCTAGCATTCTCTTTCTCCTCTAGTCACCCTGTCCTCCTTTCTGTTTTCCTGCTTCAGGTATATGGCTTTGGTTATAATACTTCCTCTGCCTGGAAATGCTCTTCCTTTCCTTTTCATCCAGTTAAGACCTATTCATCATTTAGCCGACTTCAGGGAAGACTTTCCTGATTAGGATAGATTCCCCTGATTATATGTTCTCACACCACCATTGCAGTTGCCATGTTTATTAATACTTAATAAATTAATGAGATGTTCCTCACTTCCTCATACTGTGTAAATGCTTAATAGATGTTTGTTAAATGAATGAATCTATTTAATGCTTACTAAATATGCCAGGAATTGTACTAAACATTTTACATCCTCATCTTTAATCCTTACAACAAGTACTTGAGTTATGGGTGGTTCTCCCCCTTTTTATAGACTAGAAATAGTGATAGGGTGGCTAGTTGGTGGTCACAGCTCTAGTAAGTATCAGAATTGACATTTGAACTCAAGTGTCCTTACCACTGAAGATTATGTACTTAAATAACTTAATTCTCACTTTGTGCATCAGAATCACCAAGGATACAAATGCTCTAATTGAATCTTTATAGATTCTGATTCCAAACATTTGAAATAGTACATAGGCATCTATATTGTTTAACAAGTTATCCAGATTATTTAGATGTTCACCAGAGTTTGAAAGCCATTGTCTTAGACAATATTTCAGTGCTTTTTGAGTTTTTTACACATTGTACTACACTATAGTTGAGGTTTCATACTTTTTTAAATGAAGGAAGAACTGTAGACCTAAGGAAGTGACCTTAGTGGTCATTTAGTCTAATTTCCTACCCAGTTATTCCTTTCCCCCCTTCTCTAGCTGGAGAGTTTGAATAGTGAGAGGCTGCCACCCCTCTGTTGCTGCTTTTTTTTCTTTTTAAATTACAATTTCAAGAATCTGATTATCTTATTAGTAAAAACTATACCACGCTAATTACGTGGGTTGGAAGTGCTTTCAAAAGACCTGGATCTAATCTCCTCAGATCTTATTATTTAAGTTACTAATTTGGTATTTAAGTATATGTTGCCTTATAATCTCTCATGTTGCTTTGTAAATCTTTTTGTACCATGGTCTTAAATTTGTAACCAATGACAAAACTGAATGTTTTACTTCTTGTTTTTCTCACCTACTTATTTACTGCACACCTGCTAGTTACCTAGTAATTTTTCGAATGGATGTGTACTTCTCTGTATATTGCTAAGTCTCTTTTTTTAAGTTTGTTTTTATTTTTATTTTTTTGAGACAGGATCTCACTCTGTCACCCAGGTTGGAATGCAGTGGCCTCATCATAGCTCACAGTAATTTTAAATTCCTGGGTTCAAGCAATCCTCCTGCCTCAGCCTCCCAAGT